TAATAAATGCGTGCGTTAAGCTCTCTTTTTATTCAATTTCCAGAGTAGAAGCACCAAAAGTCCATTTTATAAGCATTCACGAAAACTGTTGCCCATTTCAATTATTTAACATCAGAAGAGACTTTCGAGCTTTGAGTTTCTATTTAGTCTCAGCCTCCTGAATGCTAGACGAGATGATTTCCATACCTCAAGCCACTGCAAGACGCCATTAGGAAATAGGCTACAGTGGGGGCCATATGCCGCTCGGCGATGTGTGCGACTGATGGTTTCTCTGTACGTCTAACTTGGAGCCGCTCGGGTAGCTAACTATCCTCAGTTCTTGGTCCCCGGAGACACATTCGAGTTCTGATGAGTTCTGTGTGGTGCGCTCTGGGATTCGATATGTAAATAATTTTTTTTATAATCTATATGTCCACAATTTTGATATGAACGCGGGTACAATTTACTTTATTCAAAATATGTATTCTCACAAACTTTTTCATTAATAATAAGAACGTTGGGCTAGCAGTGCTTCCATGATCCATATTTCACTGTGATCAATATTTCACTGCTGAAGAACAATTAACTGGATAGTTTTTAAAGATTACGAAAGCTAATGAAAAAGTCGCATTCAAATTCAATAATTTACTAATGCATAATCATTTATGAGTGCAGGAGGTTACAGAAACTTCTAAAAAAACTTATTTTTCAATTTCTGTTCGCATGAATGCAAAATGTAAACGACTATTGGGCATGAGACTACACACTAACACACGCAAGAGGAACTTGTATAGTCGCACATTTTTGTTCTTACTGCGCGTGCACCAGATAGTGGCAATGTTCGTCATTGGGCTTTGAAATTAATCCTGTTTTAAATTGGTTCCTGCTTTAGGTGCGCTACAGCCGCTTTTGTCACTATAAAGTAACTCCGTCGCACCGTGACACTTTTGGCCAAGGGACCGTAGCTCGAAAATTGATTTTTGGTATTCCTTCTTACAGCTGCTCATACTTTATCAGTAGCAACGTCAATCGGAGCCAGCGTATCAGAAGACGAGGGATTTTTTTTCTACTGCTAATCCTTAGAACTCAAACGGATGTAAAATCAAGTTGACTTGGCCACAAAATTTAATATGAATATCTATCTTCAAATTTTGACTATTTAAGAAATCATGGCACACTCATCTATTTTCTTATTGTGAGTCATAAACTTTGAAACTGCGTAGAAAGAAATAATTGAGTTGCACGGAGCAAAATGACGGTCTTGCCGAACAAAAGTAGGGTAAATTTTAACTGGAGCGCGTCACTCCTGCCCTGCCATTCAGTCAAATCAGTGACGGACCACAAAGTTGTGCTGCGTTTGATGGACCGCAAAAAGAGCCATATCGTTCGCAGTGTCCAAGGTTCTAATCAAATTAGGGTTGGTTACTCAGGCAAGCACAGGCGCGGGCGTTTGTTCCCCTTTGCTTGGGTAGCGGCGCCCATCCATTCTCTTAGTCCAGCTTTAACAGGGCAGGGTCAATACCACACAACCCAGTGCAGTCACCTGACACTGCCACCCTCCGACACCCATCTGTGTACCTGGACCACACGCTTGTATGTCATCGAATTAATTTTCATTGAAATACAAGGCGAAAATAGACTTGGTCGTAAGGTAAGAAGTAAAGAAAATTTTGTACAATGGCCCACCAAATCGTTGAGTAGAATGTTCTTACTCTATGTAATTTGCTCTTCCAAATCATAGCTAATTCGTAAGTTAAATAATTATTTTCCAGTCGAGTGAACCAACATCTAGTTCTGACGTTTTTTGGCTTAGTGGTTCCAACCAATTTTAAAAAATGAGTGACAAGGCGGCATGAATGTTGTTTGAGGTTCTAGCCCATGGCCAGATTATTTTAAGCTTTATTAGGTCCATCTTAATAAATCCAAGATCACGTCGTTATTTGGTGCTCCTAAGAAATTCGTTTTTTCGTAGAAGGGTAATTTTTCAGGTTGTGCTCGTAAACCGTATCGAAACGGCAATTATTTAAATCGAATATGAAATACTAATTGAAATTTCCCTGCGAAGCTCTCCGAAACCTCCCATCAGTGAAGTAAAAGCGAGATGCCAATCTACTTTAAAACCAAATTTGACCATTTCAAAAAATATCTGCGTAGAAAATTGCAAATGAATTCACCGAATCAAGCCTTTGAACTGTCTAATACAACTTATCACCACAATACTAGGCAGATTGGTGTCCATTTTGGTACATGTTGTAAATTGTACCTAAACTTCGCGCATTAAATGGATTTTGACATTTTAATTCTTTCAGTTTAATTTAAAAGCTTCCGAGAAAAATAGAATTTTACAAAATAGAATTAAATAAAACAAAATTTAGAATTTATTTGCACCAAAGCTATATTTTGGATGTATAAAGCCACTATCAATTAGTTGTATAATGCCGCTAAGAATTAGATGTATAATGCCAATATTTCAAGGCGGATTTTTTCCCTGGTTTTGAATATCTAGAATAAATTTGAGAAGTTCTCAAAAGATGATAAATCATAAAATCATACGATGAGTCTCGCCTGCTTTTCGGTCAAAAAATAGTAGTTCTGCTGCCAACTGGCTAGTGAGCTTAATCATTTCAGTCTCAGTGCAAATCCTGAGTGCATGACGTTCATTGAAAGACATTCAAATTTCAGAAACAAGCAAACCTCAGCTCCCTGCAGGCCTGTGCGACTAATCCATTGAGGTGCGGCAGTTATATCCTCGTTTAATTAACCTCGCAGGGAAAACGACGAAAAACAATGGACTTTTGTTCCCGTAGCTGCGCTACAGAGAGCACGGAAATGCCAGTCCTGCAAGAATGAGTTCTTTTCGTTCTAGGCGAGAAACTTCCTTACGGAATTTTTCTACCGCTAACACACTGCAAATGAAATGCAGATACATGATATTAAGGGCATGAAATGGTTGCTAAAAATACCTCTTATATGTACATAAGCCCACGCATGGTATAGCTTGGAACGTTCAAATAATTCATCAGCAGATAGCTCGTGAAATTTAAATTACAATCGAACGCCGTCTTTCTTGACTTCAACTGAGTTATTTGCCGTATGCCTTTCCTTAAACTTCACCAATGTTTAACGTAAACTTCTCTATACGGTCGATTCATGCGTCTTCTTGACATTCTTTTTTATGTTTTAGTTCGCAATATTGTAGTTTTAATAAACCGCCATCGGTATTTCTTTGATCACTTTGTTTTCATATAGAGGACGATCAAGAAATGACTGCGATGAAACCATCTAGTAATATTAATTTCAAATTATCGTGACTCTTTCACACATCATAGTTTTTGCAGTATGAACTGTTCTAATCCTTTGAAAGATATCATTAACCTCACGGTGGGGAAATGTCTAACCCTGTTCAACGTCAGGGAAACAGGCTAGACTAGGGTCTATAGGGACCTTGCACAGTAACGTTATACACACATTATGAATGGATTTATTAAAGATGAGAACACTAACAATACACTTCTATAGTGTATAGTTGAAATATATTATATAGTAATAGTTGAAAGAGAATATATAGTAATAGTTGAAAGAGAATTTCAATGTTGTTTCGTTCTGTAATCAAGTGATATTTTATTAACAAGTAGCAAAGGAGTTAAACTCTACTAACCTTTAATGATATACGACATTAAACGATTTGTTGAAATATTGTTTCATCCTTTTTTGCCCTTTATTTCAACCACGTCAAATTAAATCCAACGCAACACTATTTATTTTGTTACACCTTCGTCAAGTGTTTTTTTTTTTAGAATAAATCGATTTTGGCTACACTTTCAGAAGTGCAATCGCTCCTGCATGCATTGGCATCGTAGAAGACGAACTGATTTAAGATGCATAAATGAAGATCTAGGCATCATTTCGACGAATACTTAGCATCATTCAGGAAAATATTTAGCATCATTTCGATGCATACAATTAGAATAAGGCATCATTCAGAAGAAGACGTGGGCATTATTCAGGAGGGGACTTGGGTATCATTAATTCATGTGGAGACGTGGACATTTTTCGGATGAAAACGTGTGCATCATTCAGACTAAGATTTAGGCATCATTCACATGGTGGCGGGTCATCATTCATATAGGAAGACATTGGCATCATTCTTATAAATACGTTTACTTCATTCCTAGGAAACTTTGGCTTATAAAGACTGATGCATCATCATTCAGCTGAAGACGTGGGCATGATTCATGTGAAGAAGTGGGCGTCTTTCAGGGGAAGACGCTGGCATCATTTAGCTGAAAACAGGGCATCATTCATGTGATGTCCTGGGCATCATTCATGTGAAGACGTGGGCATCATTCATGTGAAGAAGTGGGCATCATTCATGTGAAGACGTGGGCATCATTCATGTGATGTCCTGGGCATCATTCATGTGAAGACGTGGGCATCATTCATGTAGACGTGGGCGTCATTCATGTGACGACGTGGGCATCATTCATGTGAAGACGTGGGCATCATTCATGTGACGTCGTGGGCATCATTCTTGTGAAGATGTTTGCATCATTCAGAGGAAGACGTAGAGATCACCTAACATGGACTTGTACATAATTCATTCGCAGATTTGGACATTATTCAGACGGAAACTGGGGCGTCATTCAGAAGGAAACGTTGGCATCATTTAGCTAATGACGTGGGCATCATTCAGATGAATGGAAAAATTTAAGGATTTCCCCACGGGTTTCATTTTTCGTATTTGTGTGTCACTCACCCAATTAGTTTCAATAAATAAACACCGAATTTTTCAGAATCAATTCTTAAATTACGATTCGAAACTGAATTTTTAACCTCTGTCTCTGGCTCACTAATTCTAATATTTTTTTATTCTAATATTTTTTTCAAAATTCGCCTGATAAATACACTAAATAAATCGAAGATTTAGCCTAAATAATTTCAAGTTTTAATCGTACTCCACCTCCATTCCTTATAATTGTATTTTTACAATACAATATCACTGTTTTTTTTTTTTTTGACAGGTCTACATGGAGCCTCTAAAGAAGATTCAAGTGGATGGATTCGCCATGTTTGCAGAACCCGAGCTGCTCTTCGGGAACCTGGACGAGCTTTGTTGTGTAAGTAAACTCTTTTCTGCATTTATGAGCTGCGGCATTGCAAAAAGTTTTGCACTTCGGCGGGACTTGGGAAAATAAATATAATAATTCTCAGTTGCGGTGCTCAGGAATATCATGCAGACAAGCAGAGGAGAACTGATCAAAATATGTGCATTAAAAAATATTTCTACACTCTAATAATAGATGATTTTTTGGCAGCATCTGTTCATTGATCGTTTCGTATCCCATCCAATAAATAATATTTATCACTAATGAATTATTTGGCAGGCATTTATTTTTAAACCACAGGATTATTTATTTCAATTTTATTGGGCCCATCATGATTTTTCTCGTAAATATGAACCAGTCTCTTTCATATTTTTATAATGAACCCCTTTCGCTAACTTCTACATTTATTGACAGCAATTTTTTTGTAAGCCAACAGAAAAACTGCAATACCGAGGACAACACACAAACGTAGGAGCAACATCTACTTAACAAAATTGTGGCGTAGCTTAAGACATTCTAGCTATTTTTTTTTTACTCCTGTTTCGTAGACGATATACAAACTTTAAAAATAACTCGAGAAAAACTTCATAATATTCCAATTAACTGTGCGGCAAAACTGAAAAATAAATAAATTTGAACATACCTGAAATTATGTGCATAACAGTTCTACACTAATTCCTTGATATAGAAGTGAATGCACTTCGAATTTATTTTGAAAATTTGAGAAATACAGTATATGTGCGATACATACACTGCATTCAGCAGTGTCTGTGAAAAAAATTCTACAAAATTAGCTGTTATTTGGACAAAGAATAGCAAGTGAAGAGGCGTCGGAAAGAAAAACAACTTTATAATACATACATAAATTATGATTGAAGCTGAAGTCATATACTGTCCCAAATGTCAGGGCATTATTCTATATGTATACTATCATGATTAACGCCCTTGGGAAGTGTTGGCTCACAGCCGCAGTAGACCCGCCTAGCATTTAAATTAGGTGCAGCAGTATATCCGTGTTTTGATCACTTCTATCGAATCAAATGATAAGTTATGCAAAATAACAGATCAAGTTCAGATAGTGTAATCACAAAAAACTAACCGCCGTGCAAGCCACGTGCTGCCGAGTTTAAATCGCTTAGCCTAAAATGAATTAAAAGTTGAAAATTTTAAAATGTTCTCTTGGACAACTCGATCCAATAGAGTAATGTAAAAGTTTAATAAGTATACATTGGATCAAAAACATGAAAGACTCTTTTAACGCGTTGAATGCGGTTCCTAAAACTGCCGACTGCCTGCCGGCGTGATTCTTTTTAGGTTCCAATTGAACCTTACAATTTGAAATAACAAATATACTTTTTCTGGTATTCGTCATATAGAATAGTTAAACACATTTTCTATTATTTCAATGTCTTAGAATTTATCATCAACACGATGTGCCATAAATGGAAGTAATACCAACTTTTGGGGTTCAATTAAATATTTTAATTATTTAAATAATGGACCCACCGGTGTTTCGTTAGCTCATTCAACGCGCTAACTCAGCTAAGACTTTTTGACCTTACTATTATTCCTAGAATTCCACATTGCATTGGAACACGAGCCGATCTACAAACAAATCATGCAAAGCATGTGCCCTTACATAAATATATCTCTCGAGACGTTTACTTACTGCGTTTGTGTATAACGGTCACTGGTAGAGCGTAAAATTTAATTTTTTTCATGCTCATGAGAGTGAAAACTAGGAAATCTGTTCTCCTAAACATGTGTGAAATTGTCTGACCAGCAAATAGAAATGTTTCTATATCATATATATCAACGCATAATGTACGACAACAAAATTGAATTGAGAAACTCGTGAAAATCGATGTCCTAGAAATATGCATTTAAAAATTACTTTTTACGCATCTAAAGAATGCAATGTTTCCGCTGTTACAAGTGTACGATGAATTTCCAATTTTATTTTCAATTATTAGAAAATCTACAATTTTTATGCAATAAAAAAGTAAATTTTCAATTTCGTTTATTCTGTCAACTGATTCATGCATTGTCTCCGATTTCACGCAAGTTTGCAAAATTTCAGATCGATTGGACAATTAGAAGTGTGAGGCCTTCAGCCTAAAAAAAACGTGTGATTGATATCTTCTGGGAGGTGGGAAAACATGTGGAAGTCGTTATTTTTAACTTTTGCACAAAATTCTGTAGAACTGAAAACTGAATATTAAACAAAACATTGGATGTGTCTTCCGATGAATGACCTGTAATCTAGTAGGGGCTAGTTTGGAGAAATCGATTTCATTTCTTTTGTTTAGTTTTCCAGATATAAGAATAATTTAATTGAGTTGAGAAATACTTTTTCCGGTAAATGTGACCGATCTAATCTATAATCTATCTCTCCAAAATATTATGGCGCTTTGGTTTCGCGGTAACGAGTCTTAGAAGAAACTATTCTATTCAGTAATTTAGAAATTACTCCTCCAGAACCGAAAATTCATCAATTTCCACGATGCTTATCGTAGTTCAAAATTTGCAGCTTGGAATGAAATAAAATAATTGCGATTATAATAGTCATCTATATTTTATACGCCAAATATTTTCCATCTTCAGGATATTAATTAATACATCAAACAGCGCAAAAATAAGTTGTTGGACAAATAAATACTTTGCTGCATTGCAATGACCTCATAAACGAAAAACCGTTGGAAGAAATCATGTGTAAGTCTCAGTGGACACAGCTTGACCTTAATAAATTACCTAAAATTTGATTTAGAATCTGAATCTGTCATTTAAATTCGGTATCAAACTATTCAATAGACATTTTTTTATTAATTTTCGCTGACAGGCCTCGAGACAGTTAATTTATTCAAGACAACCAATCGTAAATTTACGAGCGTGCCACACCTAATTATAATTTATCACGACTATAGCTGTGATGAGACACTAAATTCAATCAGTTTGGAAACTGTAGGAGGCACTCAGTGATTGAAACGGGCAGAGGCCGAAGTTGCAAATAGAGTTCGGCAGACTTTACGCATTAGACGGTGCTAAGTTAGCTAGATGGGAGACCACGATGATTCCGCAAGATTCCGATGATTAGCAAGATGGGAGACCGCGATGATGGGAGACCGATGATCGGAGACCCTGCGCTAAAATAGCCTCGTCTTCTTTCTTCCTATCGTATGCCACAATAGCAGAAGGTTCTTTGGTTAAAAACTTTTGAGAATATACCGTTTTGTAAATTCTCAATCGAAGTTAGCATGACGATTCTCATCATCATGACGAAAGATTGATTTTCAGGATCTTAGGCTTGGCATTTTGCTGATATTCTTTGTCCAGATTTGTCTAATGATCGCAAGTGATGACAACGCACAAAAATTACAAAATTCATGGTTAGAATCACCAATGCTTTTCGCTATCGAGATACACAATGATTTATCCCCCTATAGTTAAGATTACTTTCATTCACATTTTTTCCCTGTCCGCAATTACAACCCCGGATCGTACTGATTATTATTTGAGTCGAATGAGCTCCAGACACTATTTCTTACAGTAGTAGGTAATTTTTAATTAAAATCAGTAAAAATCTGTTTCAAAATATAACTTTGATGAACATTGCCAACATATCACTAACAAACACTAGGTAAACGTCGCTAAACAATTAGCTTCGTAGTATTCCAGAACATGTTTGCAAGGCGACGGAGGGAACAAGTCGAAAAAAATATAACTCAGTACTCACTGCAGTGAATGACAGAGAGCGCATTTTCTGGTCGATGAAAACGTGAAGTCACGGACGGACGGACGGACGGATGGACGGACTTACGGACGGACGGACGGACGGACATGGCGAGCACAATAGTGCATTTTTTCCATAAATGAGAAAATGCGCTAAAAACGAGTGCGTGAGCAGGTGTTTTCGAGCGACGTGAGCTCCATACATACAAGGACAGCTGCAGACTTATAGTGATGCCCTAATACGCTGGGACCTAAGTTTTGGTACATTGTATTCTTATTCTCTGCTTCCGTTTCAAAAATTATGTTTGGAGGCAACCTCTATCACCGTTCATCAGATCACATCCTTCCTGACGTAGCAGGAAACAGGTCTAAATGATTGAACTCTTAGGCAGGGTTCACACCATACTGCCGGGCACGTGCCAGGCATTATGCATTATTCCAGCCCAATATTCTTCAATTCATTTCTGTAGACGCATTCACACCAGCCGTGTAAAGCACCTGTCATGTGATGTAAATGGCTCTATATAAATGCATTTAATAATGTTGGACAGGACAGTGACTAGCACGTGACTGGCAGCATGGTGTGAACCTGGCGTTAATGTTTGCTCAAGCGACGGTCAATAATGAAGACGCGTTAAAATGCATTAAACCAAGCTATAAATAGCACTTTGTTAGCTCTTGCGAAAGTGGCAGCATGAAGAAGAAAAGTTGTCTCATTAAAGCAAGCGACGCGTAAGCAAATGCGTATCATTATGCGTATCATCATGCGTATCATCATTCCGCATTCGAGGCGAGATGATCCTGAAAGCTTTGTGCCCATCAGCGATTAAAATCAAGGCAACTTTCAGGAACAATCCTGATAGAAAACGAGACAATACTTAGAGGATAAATAGGAGCTTTGTATTTTCCCAGAATTTACATTTATTCTACGGCAAGTAACGAAAGGTAAAGTGTTAACAGTTGGCATAAAATTATGAAAATATATTTTTCAAACATTTTTCAACATCATTTTTTCAGTTGTGAATCTCTCATATAAAATTCATGTAAAATGACAACGCATATTTTGTAAATGACGATAAAGTTAAGGGGTTAATATAAAACCCCATCCACGCTCATCTGAGCGGCCGACCTCGTCACAGACCCGCGCTATATAATGCAATTGAGAAATCAGGAATGAGCTCTGAACTCACACGGTCTGCGTGAGGTACAAATATCTGGAGGGCATTAAAATTAAAACATAAAATTACGAAATTAATCTGTCAACCATACGTCGCCAAGTCTGC